ACACCCCTTTATGTGTGAGGCGCCAAGGTCAAGGATGAGGCGTGGATGGCGCATGTCACTAGGGTGCTGAAGCAAGGCACGATTGCAGAGGGCGACATCATCACATGGTCGGGATACAACTCGTTACTAGCAAGCGATGAGTTGGTGAAGCCCCCTGCCGAGATCGGCATCTATCCCCTTTTCCCAGACAAGGCTGCATCTACATCGTCAATGAAGCACGCGATGGAGCTGACGATACAAGGCACTAAGTTCCTCAATCCGGGCCAGACCAGTGTTCTTGGTGCAAATCAGCCACTATATGCTCTCATCAAACTCGTGCAATAGCAATTCCCCGACATTGTGGGAGAAGATAAGTTGGTTGTTGTGATGGGCGCTCTGCACATCGAAGACAAGATGCATCTTATGATAGGCAAGTTGCTGCGCGACTCGGGGTGGGCCACCATCCTTTCTCAGGCCGAGGTCCTGACATCTCTGGTCGCGCACAGTCTTTACTCAATGAGCATCACATCAAGTGCACAGGGTATGCCCATCAAGTCTCCCTCATGTCGCTTTACCTATTCAAGCAGACCGCTACTCGGAGTATTGCGAGAATGTAATAGGCCCACCTGAGTCATTTGATATGTGGAATCAACTTGTGTTTCCAAACTCTACCCCTGTTCAAGTTCTGGTCAACTGTAATCAACCTGGAGCTGCTGATGACTCGCTTTGTTCGGTCCCTGTGGGAGGGGGACTTTGCACTATATGTGCAAGCATGTGACGAACTCTGCGGCTGGTTTCACGCCCTGGACCACACAAACTACGCGCGTTGGCTGCCTGTACATGTACGTGACATGGTCCAGCTAGCCGAGAAACACCCTCAAGTACATGCTAAATTCATGAAGGGCAACTTTGTTGTGCAGAAATCAGCTAGAAGGTTCAGCCTCATGGGAAAGGACCAAGCTCATGAACAGTCAAACAAAACCCTTCAGACGCATAGCAGAGCAGCTGGACTCGATGAAAACCCCGATGCCCTTACACTGTTTATGCTGGCTGGACCTGACTGCGCACGGATAGTTGAGGAGTTCGAGGCCATCCACGACCCACCATTATCATCCACTGCTCATCATGAGGAAGGACACAGCTTGCAAGTCAAGTTTCGAAAGGATGTACTATCGTTCATCGAGGTGGTCGAGCAGCTAGACAACCCTTTCCTCACTACAAGGAAGGAGCTTGTAGCACTCGATACACAGAATGGCATGGAACAGGCCGTCGCTAATTATCTATCTCAAATCCAT